GGTGCAAGTGGGAGCGGCAGGCGCAACCGGCGAAGGAGGAGAACACGGAAGTGCGTACTGGGGAGTGTGACATCCTCATGTGTGGGTAGAACCGTGAGGGCACGCGAGGAATGCGGCCCGGCCTGTGACAGCAGCAGCGCTCGAGATGCAGGTGAAAGGCTCGAAAAAAGCGTCTCAAACGCGCGCTCGTCACAGGCGTGGGCAGCACGGCGCTGCCATCCACGGAGGTGGTCACATGGTTCCTCGCGGCTGGGGGCATCAGCAGGGGGCCGCAAGGCTTCCTCCCAGTTAGGTACTGTGAAGCCTTGTGCGCGGAGGTAAACTGCCGCGTGCTGGGCAGCCGCAGCTGACGGCGGGCTGTCAGCAAGCGGTCCCTGCAGTGCATGCAGCATGCGCGCCGCCGCCTCTGGTGCCTTATCCCGCAGGACAGGAAGTGCGTCGCACCAGGATGCCCAGTGTGCTGCGTGGCGGTCTGACAGCGCAGAACGCAAGCCGAGGCCGCCAAAGCGTGCAGCAAGCTGTGCTGTCTCCAGGGCGCCCTCCGGCAGCGGGTGGCCCGCACGGCCGAGAAGCCCGGCGATGCACGCAGCAAGCGCGGCATCGTGCTCGGCGGCGTAATCGGCCGTTGCTGCTGGGGACAAAACGCGGAGGAGGTAATTGGCTCGCGGTGCAGCGCAGTAGCGCAGCAGCAACCATGCCGCTTGAAGGTCCTCAACCGCGGGGATGGCATGCAGCAAGCGGTCATGGGCCTCCCGTTTGAGCACGAGCTGGTTCCGCAAAAACGCCTCCGACCCCAGCGGCGTGCCCAAGACGTTGAGGCCTTGCTGGTCACGGGGCAGTGCCCAGTCGCCGACCCAAACAGGGTCACCACCGACTGGCCGAAGGTCGCCGATGTTTGCAGGCTCCTTGCCGGCTGCGTTCCAGATACGTGTTTTGGCACGATTTAGCTGCACGTGTGCATGCCTCCATAATGCAACCTCAACCGCAGCATACAATTCCCTGACCCGGTCGGGGAGCGCGACGACATAGACGTCGTCGAGGAAAGCAAGCACAGCCTCTCCGTCTCGCAGGCCGGCCTGCACCTCTTGGAGTGCGGCGTGGGCAACGAGCGAGTACAGGCCAGGCATTAAGGGGTCTCCCTGCTCCCCTCCCTCACCTTGGGAGACGGTGTGGGAAGTGCCGCTGGCGTCGACCCACGTGTAAGAGCCGGGTGTGGCATAGAACTGCCGGGCGNNGCAGTGGCTGCAGCTCAGGCCTGGCATGCAGCGCCTCCAGCATAGCCCCGCGGGAAGCATGATCATAGGCCCCAGCTGCGTCAACGGAAAGCACCGTGGCCCGTGGATCTAGCTCGGTCGCGACCTTGGGCACACGTGCAAGGGCCTCTGTGCCAGCGTGTGTGCTCAAGCCGAACTGGAAGGGCAGACATGCTTGTTGCAGCTGGGTCGCATAAGTTTGGGCTAGGACCCGTCCAGTGAGGCGCCCAAGGACATCTCCGACAACTCCCCCGGACTTGCGCAGCGCGACCATGCGGCCAACTCGGGGTGCAGCGAGGGCCAGCGGCGGGACATCGGCTTGGGCAAGACGCTCGGCGACGACGTGGAGAAGCCGACCATCCTTCTCATCGTCGAGAAGGATTCGGAGATGTTCATTGGTCGCCCCGGAGGGGCCTGCTGCCGCTCCCCGACAGGCGCCTCGAAGCGATGCCAAAAATTGTGAGGCGGGGAGCGGGCATGCCTCAGCTGGTTGGAAAGCCGCAACTTCGGGCGCAAGGGGAGCATAAGGCTCGGGCGGTCGGCGCGCAGGATCGCGCAACTCGGTGAGTGTCGCGTCCGTGCCCGGGGCAAGCGGCTCA